ACATAACAATTAGTTCTATTGTGAGAATTAGCATACCTCATCCACTCAAGCCATAGGTTGGTGTCTGTAAAACCAGTCTCCACAGCCATAGTATCTTCGAATGTAGGATTGGCAATAGCCACCATGTCTTTAAGGGTCTTAATATGTGGTTTGAGGGGGTTAATGGTCAGGTGATGTATGCATGTCTTGTAAATAGAAAGTCCCCAACTTGTTATATGACTTACCCCCTCTCCAGTACATACCCATTACATATTCTCCAGTGTCTCCCGGATTGGGGTGTTCGATGTTCAAAATGAGTTTCATTGGGGTTGACCCTGTTAACTTACATAAAGTCATTCTGTGTAACAAGGGTTTCCCATGTCTGTCCAGCCTATCCAAGGCACTTTGTGATCTGTAGCCCCATGGTCAACCTATGTTCCATCCTGCCACTCTCCAGGTACTACAATGATGTCCCCAATGACTGCCTCTCACACAAATATATGGGTCCTTTTTATTAGGTATATCTTTGTATATTGCTGAGTGTTGTGATTGCGGAAAGATACAAGAGACAATGTCACAGTAATCAAAGTTAAAAGTAGCTACATGTGTGTTTGAGGAATTATACCAAAATGTGTAAACTTGATTATCTTTGGTAATAGCAACTTGTTGGGCCTTTAATATGCCCAGCAGCAGAAGTAGACACAGGAAGCTCATGGTTTAGCGGGATCTGCTTCCTCTGGTTCAGGAACTTTCTTACAGTGTGAAGCCAGGTATTCTTCCCAGCCAATTTTACTGAGGTAGATGTAGTCAATAGGACTTGGAATGGACCATCAAACCTTGGATCAAGAGTGTGTTTTTTCTTAGGAATTTCTTGACAATAACACAGTCACCAGGAAGTAGCTTATGTGTGCCTGTATTTGACTCTGGATCTGGAATAGAAGAAAACACCTGCGCATAGATTTTGGTCAAGGCATGGGAAAGTGCAGTTATATAATCTACCATTGCATCTGACTGAATTTGAAGTTGCTGAGGAAAATAACAATCTAACCTGGGTGCGGTACCAAATATAAATCTCGTTGGGGGATAAGCTAAATCTCTCTCTTGGAGTGTACCTTGCACTAAAAAGTGCTATGGGAAGACTTTCTGGCCAGGGTAGGTTAGTTTCTTGGGCCATCTTAAGCATCCTGGCTTTCAGAGTGCCATTCATGCGTTCTACCTTACCACTACTCCTGTGGGTGATAGGGTTTAAAGCATCATAGAGAGGCTGCATGAGCTGAGAAGCCTCGGGAATCCAGGATCTGCAGTAAGTGATGAGTCCTAGGAAAGCATGAAGAGCCTGATGTGCAGATGGGAGAGAAAGATTTGTAATAAAGAGTACTCTGTTTCTTGTTAGGTGACGGGTGCCATGGGAAAGACAATGTCCCAAGAATACCACAGAGGGCCGGCACCACTGAAGTTTCTTCTTGGAGGCTTTACAACCTTCTCCAGCGAGGAAACAAAGAAGATCTTCTGAATTTTGTTCAGCAGATGTGAGGTCATACGCACAGAGGAGTAAATCATCTACATATTGTAGGAGAATCACGTCTGGATGGGATTTTTGCCATGCTTCTAGTACGGTAGACATAGCTTTCGTAAACTGAGTTGGTGAATTTTGTGCACCCTAAGGCATAACAGTCAAAGTATACTGCTGGCGATCATGAGTGAAAGCAAATAGATATTGACAAGAAGGATCCAAGAGCACGCTGAAAAAGGCATTTGCAAGATCAACTACAGTGAAAAATCTAGCTGTTGGAGGGATTTGTGACAACAGCGTGTGTGGATTAGGGACAACAGCAGTATCTCGGTTGGTGACATCATTAACAGCGTGGAGGTCCTGGACCATACGGTATTGGTCAGGTTGACCCTTTTCAGTTTTCTTCTTCACTGGAAATAGAGGGGTGTTACACTCTGATACACACTTCGCCAGAGCACATTTTGCTAACAGACTTTCAACTTGTTTGGAGATAGCAAGGGCTTGTGCAGGCTTCAATGGGTACTGTGGCCTTCGTGGCGGGTTTGCTCCCTCCATTAATGCGACAATTTCAATTTGAAAATGGAACTTTCTATATTTGACCCTGTAACTTTCCAAAACACCATAAAACCTGTTAATCGGTATTTTTAAATTTTATTAATAATAAATTATGTTTCATATATAAATATTTGATATGAAATGAAAGCCCTGTTTCTCCTGAACAAAATGATATATAATAAGTGTGGGTGCATTTAATATGAAAGAGGTGAATTACAGTTGAACAGACATATAGCGCAAATTCCATTTTTTGTTTACGTTTTGTTTTGATCAGAACGTGTACTATTGACTCCGTCCTGAAGGGGTTAAAGAGATAATAGACTACTTTTGAGGGATTTTTGCTTCTGCCCTATTTTTTTATTTTTTTTGTAAAATATATAAATTGGTAGAAGATGTGCTTTTGCATTGAAGGGTCTTTTAATATTTTAATATTGTATTTCATTTTATAATACAAAGGAAACAGCTCCAGCAGAAGCTGTAGAGAAATATATAGTGGGAGGGGAAAAGCCTTATCCCAAACTATACCAAAAGGTGGCACTCTTGCTGAGAAATAATATAGAAACTATGAACTAAATCATTATGGAATATCTATTTAACTAAAGCAGAAAATACAAAAAACACAATCATAATGTAAAACTGCTTTCCCCTTGACCACAGTACCCAATACTGTGGGAAACTTCTCATCCAAAGAAAAATAAAGAAAATGTACAAACAATGTACAAAACAACTCCTAAACATTAAATCATTTGGCACTATATAAAATTCCACAACTGGCAGGCAATTTATTTTATTTTTTTTCGAATAAATGAGCCTAAAAAATTCCAAATGAACTTTTAACATTCAATTTATAGGCAGGGATACATCCTATTATTGGGCCACTGATTAGGGTTACTTTTAAAATATGTTCTAGGCCACACAGAAGAGTTCTTTTTAAGTAAACTTCCAGAAAAATACTTTGCATGTAAGGTTCTCCAAACATGCTTTAAATTAGTATTTATTGCACTCATGTTCCAATAAATAGCTGTGTGCAGCCCATCTCACTAGGTGTGCACCTGGGAGTTCTTTCTCTATGTTTTTTTTTTAAAATTTTATTAACATAGCACTCCATTCATCATAACCACTACAGCCAACTGTTGTGTTTTTGGTGCCAATTATTTGTAGTGTTTGTAGTGTTTATAGGGCTGTAATTACGGCCCTGCTCCCTTTTGGTCAAGTGGGGCCATGTTCATAGACCTACTCCTTGGTGAGCCAGGGTTGTAATACTGGCGTTGCTACCTGGTGACCCTGTGGGGCTGTGATTATGGCTCTGCTACCTGGTGTTTCAGTGGGGCTGTGTTCATGGCCCTGCTATCTTGTGGGGCTCTGATCCTTGATGGCCCAGTGGAGCTGTGTTCATGGTCCTGCTCCCTGTTGTCCAAATGTGACTGTGCTCATAGGCCTGCTCCTCAGTGGCCCAGTGGGGCTGTGTTCATGTTCCTGCTCCCTGCTTACCTATAAGGCCGTGATCAAGGATATGCTCTCTGGTTGCCTAGTGGAGTTCCTGGTGTCCTAGCTCAACAATCTGATACATGCACCAAAACATGTAAAGAGGTTTTTTTTATGTAACTGGATCAACAACAGAGGAGATATATCAATTCTCAACCATCTTAAGGTCTGAGATTTCACTGATTCTAAACATATCTTTCATTCAGTGTTGAATTTCTATTTCAGGCTTGTGTTTAGCTGACTGAAACAGATTTTTCCATTTGGTTCATTATATTATCCTTAATCCAAATCAGTCCCCTGCCAAGAAAGACCGTCCCCACAATGTGCACTGCTGCAGCCACCATTGTGTTGTTGAAATTCAAACAAAGTCAAAAATATATATTGAAACAAAATAGGGACTGGTTTGTCTTTTTCCTATGCTTCACAAAACTTTTAAAAAAGGCAGAGCTACCTTTGTCACGTTTTGTCATTTTGCCCAGTAATGTCTTTAGGGGAAAAGGCTCTGTATAGATTTTATCCCAGGCCTTGCAGGATCCTCTATAGAGCTCTGTGTTGAAGTGGGCTCCTGGCAAATGAAGCTCCAGGAGTTAGAGGACCTGCAGGAAGACAAAGGCGGTAGCCAGGAGCTACAGGTTCAGGTGGGTAAAACTCACCTTCCCCTTCACCCTACGGCCTCCAGACACCCAGTGAAGCAATCACCATTGGGGCCTTTGCAAATTAGACCCCAGATTGTGACAGAGGCACTTAAAAACCAGAAATACCAAAACAGAATCACACAAGCCAATATGTTTCATGTCAAAGATCTGATGGAATTATATTTCATCTGTAGCATCACTGGTCAAAAATAACTGGAGAGAAAGTGCACACAAAATTCTGATTCTCCAATTTTCAAGCAAGAGAAATATTTGTATAAGAAAATAACTCTCTAGTAGAAATGTCTGATGTTATATCAGGTGGATGTTATAAGCTATCTCAGGCATCCACTGTAAATTCATGATTGCATTTACATCTAGTTGCTTAGTGATTTTGGAAAGAGGATATTTTATTAGGGAATGTTTTTACAGTGCAGCTGAGCCGTTTTAATATAATATTTGTAAATATATAGGTGGAAACTGAGATTGTCAATAAAGTCATTATAAACCTGCCACTGCAGAACACAATAAAATAATTGAGGTGCTAGCTTTAACTTAACAGGAATTGCAACGCAAAGTGACAATTTTATTCACTATGTCTGTCCCATCTGAAATTGACAGCTAGAACAGAAACATTAATACATGCAAGATGCCCCATGAAGGATAATATTTCAGATTCTATATATATATTGTCAATATCCGACTGCTTTGCTACACCTGAGCAAAAAAATTAGATTCAGATGTGTTATGTTATTCATGATATGAAATAGTCATATTTCATTTTTCAAATAATTTCATACAGAAACTCTATACAGCTAGCTAGCTAGATGACCTGGAAATTCATCAACCGGTGGTTTTTTTTTTTTTTTTTTTAGTTTAACAATTTTATTGATGTACAGAAAAATATTCACATCACTCGTTCACATCACAAGTATATACCACTCTTTAAAGTTCTAAAATGATAAATGTAAAAAAGTAATGGTACATGTTGAATTACAGCACATATTGAAACATTGTAGTATAACTTAACTTTAATCATCATCCCTTGTGGGCAGAATTTCTGTTGTGCCCTTCTGTTGTGACCTTACAGATTTAACCATGTTCTATTTCTTGTACAGTACAAAGGTCTGTCTTTGACTTATGTAACACATTTAACCATGGAAAGTGTATCATGCTTTGATAAGTTTGTGAAAAAAATAAATAAACCAGTAAAAAGAATAAAGCAAAGCAAAACATAAACAACCATTCTAAAACAACCAATCCCAGTGCGGTGCCCCATCCACCCAACTTTCTGTCTCCCACCCCTCCTCCCCCCCATCTCACATCTCTCTTTTCCTGCCTACTTCAAGATGCACACTACTCCCACACCTGTCGCCCCACCCGGTCATCTCATGTGCGTGCTCCCCATTCCCGGCCACATCCTTTACATGCTCCACATCTTCCCCCATTTCCACCAGTTTGTACTCATAAGGCTTACTCTTATCCTTGGTTCAATAGAATGCTTTGTCCTATGGTTCTCAGCCTGCCTCCTCAAATTCTGTCCATCACCTTTGTTACCTCAATTATGAAGGCTTATCCTATTTCCATTTCAAAGCTATCAGTGACAAATTGGCTCGGAGAATATGCTTCACCTAACTTTACTCTCCCATGGGGTATGTTCCAGCATATGTAACAGTAGTGTGGTCATTGGGGTCATCGGGAGCTTGCAGTCTTTTATCTTGATTGTAAGTGTATGAACCTCCTCCTGGCATTTTTTATGTTTCTTACATGTCCACCATATATGGATCATCGATCCAAGCTGCTCCCTATATATATAGCTAGCACATAGTGGAGCTATCAGGCAATATATGTGCTTATCTGGTTGGAACGATAACAGCGCAGAAGTACCTTCATATGTAATTCCAGATGTGATACACAGCCAGACACTACTTTAAGAGATACCATGATTTCATCCCATTGAGGTTCCAATGTATTAATCCTAATCCCTAGACCAATTCCTTGCGTATTGACACTAGTCAAATGGCACTTAGGCCTGTAGCTCCCAATAGCACCCAATAGCAAAAGAAGGAAGTTGGAGGGGGAGAAGAAGGACATTGGAGGTGGGAGAAGAAGGAAATTTGAGGGGGGAGGAAGGAAATTTCTAGGAGGGGGGAGAGAACAAGGAAATTTGAGGGGGGGGGAAGGAAGTTGGAGGGGGGAGAAGGCAATGAGAGGGAAGGGGAGAAGGACATTGGAGAGGGAGGGGGAGAAATGTTTCTGTAGAGGGATGATGCACATACTTATTTTTTCAAACATGGACAGCTTTGCGTCTGCTTACCAATTCCCTTACCGGAAACATAGCGCCAAGAAGATGAGAAATTTGAGTGAAGGGATACTGGAATACGGGATAGCCTGAAATTAGCCTGCAGTTTATCTTGGAAACAAACTGCAATGGGATAAGCCAAACCCTGAGAGAACCGATACCAAGAACCCCCAGCTCAGTCAATCACATTACTTGTCAGCATCTAGTGATAGCAGAATGCCCCTTCCCCTAGCAACCCAAAGATGGCATAACAGGTCAACCACCCTGCAGGAGTTATCCTTTACTTGCCTTACAAAACCCTACCGGATTCATACCCACTAGGGAAGGCAAAACAGATGCCAAACAGGTGGCTAATATCTTTGCAAACATCTTGCCAATCATGTTTAGAAGTAAAATAGTAAAATAGAAGTAAAATAGGCCTAAAATTGTTGCATTCTGTGCTGGATTTGCCCGGCTTGGGCTGCGTGATAATGTTAGCTAACAGCATGTATGATGGGTATGCCTAGGCCAAAGAAATGGAATTGTATAATTTTGAGAATATCCCCAAATATCTGATAATATTTACAGGTGAGGCCATCTGATTCTGGTGCCCTGTGGGGAGGGAAATCCACTCTAGAAATTCAATTATATGTTCCTTGGTAGGTTTAACGTGTGATTGGTATAAGTGTAAATTATACATAGATTTATAAAATGCAGCAAAAGCTTCACTAATTCCCTGTGGTGTATGCACCATAATATTGTTCCTCACCTTCAGATCTGTTGTTGTGCTTGCCTCTTTTTCAGCATATGAGAGGCAATACGGGGCCCCATGAATTGTGTGTACGCCACTGCATACATAGACACACACACGTATATCCAGAGACACACACACGTACATACATACACCCTGACAGCATGGGCCACCCGATGGACCCCTCCATATGTGGTTTGCCGCACGGGCCGGGGCCGCACAACTTGGCAGCTAGTACTGCACACCCCTGCGGCCAGGCCCCCTGGAGTGCCGGGCCAGGTCGCAGCTGTGACCCCTGTGACCGCGGTATGTACGCCGCTGGTAACAAGTTTCATAAAGACAGATCGGAAAACAAATTGCTATAGATCAGGCAGTTCGTGAACCTCAACCATGTCTCCGTCATATCTAGAGAGACACACCGCCCTGGAATAAAAAGAAAAAAGCAAAACCACACCAACAAATGCAAAACAACCAAAGTATGTACATGAATGAACGTCCAACTATGATGCCAACTGGGATGTAAGTTAATTTGATAAGGGCTACGGCAACATTGTGGTGTGGAGGACTCTGGCGTGCACAGCTTCGGGTTTCTCTGACCGACGGTCCTGCAAAACACAGACCCGCAGGAGGTTCCAGCTGAAGCCACATGGGATTCCCTACTAGGTGCGCGCGTGCCCGAATGCCGGCCTCTTAAAGGTAAAGTATAGCTGAAGTGGTTTAAAGCACTAACCTTCCCATCACATCACTAACCTAACTAACCTTCTATCCCCTATATAATCACAGCCTACCTCTACCTCATTGCTAGGTTCTACTGTGCTTACTGTGGTATCAACTTCAGTGTGCCTATCCTGCCTTATGTGATTCATCTGGTATCTGACCCCTGCCTGTTTATCATCTCTGAACTCTGTAGTCCCTGAACTGACCCCTGGCTTTCTTTGACTACGAATTTTGTTTTTCCTGTGGTACTTCACCTTGGCTGATTCCTGCCTCCTGGACTCCTCCCGTCAAATACATGAAAGACATAACACTGACAGACACATGACACACACTCTCTCACTGATTTGAAACTCACACTGACAGACACACATTTACAGACAGATACTGACACACACACACACACACACTGACAGTCACTTACAGACACTGTGATGGAGCTCCAGTACTCCGACTGAGTACCTCCACCTAGTCTGTTTCCAAGGAGAACCTAGCCACAGGGGACTCTGGAACTCTTCCACCCAACCAGGCTGCAGCTCTCTTTTTCCAGGCAGCTATCATCCCCTCTGCCTGGGCACAGGCTGACTTAGACATAGGAGTTGTCCAGGGTCTTGGGTCCTGTGGGGATCTCTCCTTGGGATCCAGTGGGGATCTTCTCCCTAGTGTCTAGTAGCTCCTGTATTCTTCCAGTTCTTCATTCCTCCCTCGCGAGTTGTTTAGTGATGGTGGGAGCAGAGTAGCGTCATAATTCGGCTCCCGGCATCACCGCAGGTCATGAGGGAGCAGTGAAGAACTGGAAGAACATCGCCAATCTCTTGCTGTTGCCTGTCTCCCGGCTCCCCAGTATATTTCGGCAGAGTATGCACTTGCAGTTCAGGTAAATCATTGCCTACTCTGCCTTAGTGAACAAGTGCCCACTTTGGGGTCACAAAAGGTAGCCATCTGGCCACCTCCTAAGCCTCCTGTGACAGGCCATTTGCCCACTCCTCTTGGCCCACCCGCGTAAACTAATGCTTGTTGCAGGTGGGGATGTTGAGACATTTCTTTGTATTCCAGCTGTCACCTGCTGGAATCCCAGAAGCCATTGAAAGAGAGCAGGAAACAGTCTGTGCTCACGGTGCACAACTCTCCTGTTTCCCCCATACACTGCAGGGACACTATCTCTACTGACTGATTCCCTTCTCCTCCAGTTAGCACAGGTATGCTGGAGGATAAGGGCGGTTGTTGCAATTGCAAAAAAAAGAGCTTAAAGATTTAAAGGGGGGCAAAAGATAATCAAAATTAACCTTTTTTTAAATGAAAATATGATCCAAATCTTTAATTTAGACACGGCCTAGTTAGTATACTATGGAGCAGGGCCGCCATCAGGGCATGACAACCGTTGCCGGCGGTCCTGCTCAGGTCGTCCGGGCCCCACATTCAGGAAGGAAATTTTGGAGGGGGGGGAGAAGGCAATGAGAGGGAAGGGGAGAAGGAAATTGGAGAGGAGGGGGGAGAAGAAGGAAGTTGGAGGGGTAGAAGAAGGAACATTGGAGGGAGGGGGGAGGGAGGAAATTTCTAGGAGGGGAGAGAACAGGAAATTTGAGGGGGGGAGGAAGGAAAGTGGAGGAGAAGGCAATGAGAGGGAAGGGGAGAAGGACATTGGAGAGGGAGGGGGAGAAGAAGGAAGTTGGAGGGGGGAGAAGGAGGGGAGAAGAAGGAAATTGGAGGGTGGGGGAGAAGAAGGAAATTGGAGAGGGAGGGGGAGAAGAAGGAAATTGGAGGGGGGAGAAGAAGGAAATTGGAGAGGGAGGGGGAGAAGAAGGAAATTGGAGAGGGAGGGGAGAAGAAGGAAATTGGAGAGGGGGGAGAAGAAGGAGAGGAGGGGAGAAGAAGGAAATTGGAGAGAGGGAGGGAGGGGGAGAAGAAGGAAATTGGAGGGGGGAGAAGGAAATTGACGGGGGGAGGGGGAGAGATTGACATACATCACACACACACACAATGCACCCCTTGCACACAGAAAAACAAACAATGCATTACACACAGACACACATACACAAGCAATGCATCCCTTACACACAGCAACACACAATGCACCCCTTACACACACTCAATGCATCCCTTACAGACGCACACACTGCATCCCATACATACACAAACTCACCTTGCAGCCCTTACACATACAAACACAGATTCACACAATGCATTCCTTACACACATCAGGACATCCCCACACACACACACTCCACCACCTGTGAACAAACTCATTGGTGGAACATGAAGGTGGATCCTGGGACCCAGACATTGAGCTGTGTGAAGGGCCCTCAAAAAAATGGAGCTGCTTCCTGTTGATCCCAGAACATTGATTTTTGTGACCACAGTTACAAACCGCCTCCAGAGAGCCTGTTGTACACAAGACCAGTGGAGTCAGACGGGAGATAGAGCCCATCATCATCCTCATCTGGTTGTAAGTAGGCAATCTAGTATATTATTTGTGGCACTAATCTCTAATTTACCTCACATTAAAAGGACACTATAGTCCCCAGAACCACTACAGCTTAATGTAGTGGTTCTGGTGTCTAGCCTGTCCCTGCAGGCCTTTTAATGTAAACACGGCGGCACTGCAGCACTGGTGTTAGTTAACATGTCAGATCATATGGGTGGGGCATTGTGATGTCACATGGGGGGGCGGCAAACTTTACTTTTGCCTAGGGCGGCAAAAATCCTTGCACCGGCCCTGCAGACACTGCATTCCTGTGGGCGGACTCTGGGGGGGGGGGTTGTGGGGGCTGCAGCACTTTGGGTGGACTCGGGTGCAGGCACCGGGGGGCCCAGACCTTGAGCTGTGTCAGGGGCCCCACAATTTCTGATGGCAGCCCTGCTATGGAGTTAAAATCATATATTTGACAGGAACCTGAAATTAGGCCCACTGTAATTTTCAGCTGTTGGCTCATAAAACCACTAATTCCTCAGTGTCCATCCCCCAGCAAGCAACTATTTATAAACTTTGAAATAGGAATGTTTACTTTTAATGAAGGTTATAGCACAAGGAAAATGCAAGTGACTATCTAATCTCATTGCTGGAAACTCTTTTTTCCAGAAATCCTAAATTATATTTGGCATGACATTCTATATTTGCATGTGTCACACCAAGGGTGCATAATTCATTGTTGTATTATAAAATATTGCTATTTATTGTTTAGTGCATTCATGAATTGGTTACCTGGTAAAGGTGGTATGACCAATTTCAGCATGAGAGGGGATGGTTTTATTGTGTAGGAATGTGATAGATGCCAGAAGGTTTACAACATGAATTCCTCTTTTGAAGCTGTGACTCAGATCAGAGCTCCTCTGCAAGGTGTGAAATGTTACACATGTCTACGAAGTCTAGGAATTTAGCAGTCAGGAGACCATTGTCTTCCAGTGTCATATCCAAAAGAAATATTAATAATAACTAACAGATTATACATCCTCTTGTGCATGTTCAGAATGGGGAAAGCAAACCCTAAAGCCATGAGAGAGACATGGTCACAGAGGAAATACCTTGTCATGCCTCCCGCCGGGTCCGCTCCTGCCAGAGAGCGGTATGGGTCCCGACAGGAGCGTGTCTTTGCAGCGGCATTCGTACTTCGCAAGGAGAATGCTGCCGAATACTTACCCTGTCTCCAGGCACCTGCCGGGTCCGCTCCTGAGCGGACTGGGACCCCGGTGGGCGCATCTTGTTGTGCCGGCATTTGCACGTGGTCATGGGAATGCCGCCTCTCACTTACATCCTCCTGCAATGCCTGCTGTCCTCTGACAGGCATTTCTCCCCTCACACTGCAACGTTTTAAGGTTCTTACTTAACCATTTCAGTGCTAAACTTTGGAAACGTCACACATACGTTCACTGTCACATGCTCCCCTGTAGCCAATAAAGGAGCACCTTAGGCTAGACATGTACATGCGTTTTCGTATGAATACGATTTCAACCGAAAATTCTGTTGTTTTTTTTATTTGTTTAATAAAACGTAAACGAAAGCCCTACAGAAGAAATATAAACGAAACGAAAGGGCAAATGCTGTGAATGCATTACCTTTTTTGTTTTGCTTGTTTAATAGACTCCGTGCTGCAGGGGAATTAACCCCCACAGCACTGAGAAATAACAGTACACATGCGTGAAAAAAATAAACCTGGCCCAGTTCTCCCTGTTCTCCCATGGTGGGAAACACACAAAACTCAAATGTGGAGGACATAGTGCCCCCCCACACCCCCACCCGTGACGGCTATTAATATAAAGGGGGGAATCTAATGAATGAATAAATAATGGGGGGGACCTAATGTCCCCCCCAGGTCACCACCCATGAGTGGTGGGTTGGGACCCGTGGCCCCCACTCCAGCGCCGGGCGGGGAGTTCTCCTCCGACGGCCCACCGGGAAATTTCCCTGTATCCCGGTGGGCCAGTCCGGCCCTGGTGCCGTTTTTCCAAACTAAACAGATTTCATTTTTTTAACCTTTCTTCATAACTAAAATGCTCCATTCCTTTTATCAATTTTGTAGCTCGTCTCTGGACTTTTTCTAGTGCCATAATATCTTTCTTTAGAACAGGCGCCCAAAATTGCACAGCGTATTAAAGGTGTGGTCTTACAAGCGATTTATAAAGAGGCAAAATTATATTTTCATCCCGAGAATTTATGCCCCTATTTATACATGACAAAACCTTACTGGCCTTAGCAACTGCAGATTGACATTGCATATTGCTGCCTAATTTGTTGTCTATAACAATTCCCAAATCCTTCTCGTGTGTGGTTATCCCTAGTTCACTACCATTTAGGGTGTAAATTGCTTGTACATTCTTAACCCCATAGTGCATAACTTTGCATTTCTCTACATTACATTTCATCTGCCATTTTAGTGCTCAGTCCCCCAATCTATCCAAATCCCTCTGCAGCAAAGCAATATCCTGCTCACATTTTATTACTTTATAAAGTTTTGTGTCATCTGCAAACACCGATACATGGCTTTCAATGCCTATTTCAAGATCACTGTGATTTTCACAGTGAGAAGCACGCAAGCACCTCTAGGGGCTGTCAAGAGACAGCCACTAGAGGCTGGATTAACCATATTATAAACAGAGCAGTTTCTCTGAAACTGCTATGTTTATAAAAAAAAAAAAAAGTTGAAGTGGTCTGGATGCCTATTGTGGTCCTTTAAAAAAGAGA